TTTGACATACTTTATTGTTTCTAAGACATAAAGACTGTAAACTGTCAAAATTTTAAGATCTTTAAATTAATAAGTTTTCGACACTCTCTGTGCTTTTTAAACCTAACATGATTCGTATTGTTTTTTTTTGTTTTATCAGAATTTTGTCCAAATTATATATTGAGGTAGCTCCATATATACAAATTCCGTATGCCAGATGAGAGTGTATTAAAGAATAATATATTGTTTTCAGCACTGTAAGGTCAGATATTTTTGACATTTGCCACAGTGCATATATTCCTGATGACATCTTTTTCACTACATTATCAACATGATCATTCCAAGATAGATGTCGATCAATGAAAAGTCCTAAAAATTTTGTCTGATTTGCTTTATTTATTATGTTATTGCAAACTTTGATTTTTGGATCCAGAGCTATTTTTTTTTGTGGAGAAACTTACTATCATTGATTTGCTTGTATTTAATAGAAGGTTATTTTGATTTAAAAAAATTTGAATACTCATTAAGTCCAAATTGGCTGAGAGCTCAATATCAGAACTGGAATTTCCTTTAACAATTAAATTAGCATCATCTGCATATAGTGACATCGAACTGAAGCTAGTACTCTTAGGCAGACCATCCAGGTAACACAAAAAAAGTAATGGACCCAGGATGGATCCCTGAGGTACTCCATACTTAATCACCTGAGCTTCACAGACATAGCTTCTTAAATAATTACAATAATTACCATAATCTAGATATTTCATTTCAACAAACTGATGCCTATTACATAAATAAGAGGAAAACCAAGCACACTCTTTTCCTTGAATACCCAGTGATTTTAATCTTTCAATTAAAACAGGGTGTGCCACACTGTCAAAAGCACGGGTGAGGTCAAGGAAAATACCCACCACCCTTTCACCCTTATCAACTGCATCAATTATGTTTTCAATAAATTCAACTGCAGCAGTTATTGTGGACTTCCCTTGCCGAAAACCATGCTGCTCTTTATCTAACAAATTATTCGATTCTAAAAAGTTTACTAACTGATTGTATACTATCTTTTCAAATATTTTTGAAAAGGATGATAGCAATGAAACAGGTCTATAACAAGTTATATCTTTACGGTCACCTTTTTTAAAAATAGGGATAACTTTTGAAATTTTTAATTTATCTGGGAAATGACCTGAGATGAAAGATGAATTAATTAGATGAACTAGGGGTTTAAGTAAAAATTGTGAAGATTTTTTTATAAGGGTCATAGGAATACAATCGATACCAGTAGAATATTTATTGTCAAATAAAGAAATTACCTTCAGTAATTCCTCTTCTGTAATTGGTGTGAATCTGAATTTAGTATTAGTTTTTAGAGGAGGAACTTCCAGTTGCAGTGGGGGAATATTGGGAACCACAAATCTCTCCACTGCATTAACAAAGAAATCATTAAAGACTCTGCTAACTTCCATTGGTTTATTAATTAACCTATCATTATAATTCAAACATATATTATTATTTCGGCTTTCTTTTTTTCCTAATTTAGTATTTATTATATTCCATGTAGTTTTAACCTTGTTAGAAGAATTTTTAATTTTGTTACTTATTTGACTTTTAGTTATATTCAATAAAGTCTGATTTAGTAATACTTTTTTCTGCTTAATGTGTTCTTTTATTGCCTAATTTTTTGTTTGCCTAAACAAACTTTCCAAATCAATTATATCTTGTTTTATGGCTTTAAGTTCTGTGGTTATCCATTTTCTCTCCGGTTGAGTCCTCTCAGAAATGAACACCTTAGGAAAAGATAAATCAAAATAATATCTAAATAGTGAATCAAACACATGATACTTTCTTTCAACTGGTGCTTGGAATACCTCAATCCAAGTTTCTTTGGAAATGTACATCATGAAGTTTTCATAATTAGCTACATTGAAAACCCTACCTTCTTTTTTGATATTATTTTTATGTTTATTATCTACATTAAATATATCAAGGCATTGTGCATCATGATCAGACACAGTAGTGTAAGCAAAACATCATCTACAATATGATTAGAAACATCAAAAGAAAGAAAAATCTAAATCAAGAACACAACAGAGAAAGAAAGAAGAAAGAGAAATGCATTAGTATCCCATTCAATACAACTCTTAACAGGACTACAAGAAAAACTTTTCAAAATTCTGAATACAAAATTGGCTTTAAAACAAAAAATAACGCTTTCAATATGATAACAAATAACATTAATACAAATAAAGAACATCAGACATCTATGACAAATCTGGCATTTACAAAATTAACTGCACTGATTGTGAACACTTCTACATTGGTCAGAGAGGACGCTCTTTCAAATCTAGATTCCAAGAGCACATTCAAGCTCTTAAGAGTAACAACAGAACATAATCCATGAAATCAAACTTTGCTGAACACCTTTTATCGACCAACCACAATTACACAAATTTAAAAAACAACATGAAAATTCTAAAAGTTTTAAACAAAGGAAATCGAATGGATTCAACTGAAGAATATTTCATATACGAAGAAATGCTAAAAAATCCAAATCATATTTTAAATAGCCAAATTCCTTCAAGAAACCCAATCTTTGACCAAATTTAAAATTAAATAATCAGTAACAAAAATGTTTTTCCAAATCCTGTCTAATTCTATAAATCATCTGTATACATAAGTTATATTTATTTGAAAACAAACAATATAAACAACAGTTAAGTATTTAATGTATTTGAAGTTTGAAAATGGACTTATGTCCGAAACATGTCACGTCTTTTTAAAAATATAATATTCAGGGTGCTCAGTTGTACTTATTTACTACAATAATTTAATTTATCAGCAGCCCTATTATGTGAACACCTAAATTAATATATATATATATATATATATATTTAAAAATTTGAACGAATGGTGTTTTTGGCCTCGGGGGACATCAAAATGAAAATGTGAATCGGTCCGGAGCCTAGGTCTTACCATGAGACCTACGGTAATAGATACTTCCCTATAGGGAAATTCGCTAACACTAATATAACTCATTTAATCACAGAACATAACATAACATTCTTTATTTACATAACAAAATAAACATAGATTAATATGATCAGCTGTTTCATATACCAATATACATATAGCAGCCAAAAAGTTTCTGGAATTAATTTATTTAGACATTTAGCAGGAAATTCGCCTTGCAGTAATTGGTACGACTCCTAGGGAGGGCATTTTGGTAGTGGAGGTATAGCTGACTATTCGTAGTCTAGCATTGGAAAGTGCTTTCGTGTACCTGCAAGTATACATTGTCGGTTACTGTCGGTCATGTAGGTACCTGCATTGAAAAATGCCATTTCACAAACAGCGTGTAAACATTAAGTTCTTTGTTTTACTTAAAACACCACCTAGTGAGAATCTTGAGTTGTCATTCAAGCTTATGGAGAAGAGGCGAAAGAGAAAGGTCAAGTTTATGAGTGGCACAAACGGTTTCGCAAAGGCTCTGTGAAAGCATTGACTACTATGACCCTTGTTGTGGACGTCCTTCAACAGCAGTCAATGAAGTAAACATTGAGGGAATACGACAAGTTGTGCGTGAAAAACGGAAATTAACAATCAATGAAATTTTACTCACCTTGTCAAATATAATAACACACAACGCTTTTTTGAGTTAAGCTATATGGTTTACATACCGTAAAAACAATTCTAGATTTGCCGATTTCAATTTTCTTTTTAAATGACAAAATTTTGGCCTACAGGCTTCCACTTGTGCCTACATTAAAGCTAAAAATATTCACCACAGAATATTATGTTTTATTACTGATGTCGTAGGGAGAGTATTAAAGCTGATATTTATAGCTTTAAATATGATCAACTCTAGACTATAACATTTTTTTTCAATGCTCCAAACTTATAAATACTGTATCTTGAAGTCTATAATAGATACAGAGCTGCAACTGATACCAAATTGTAGGAAATTTTATTTACTTTAAAAAAGGTGCGAACACTTTCTTTTGACAATAAATTGTTTTCAAGATTTTTTAAAAAAAGATGAAAAAAAGTACATGAAAATCGAGTTTTTCAACCGACGAGCAGCAAGCACAGGTCTTTCGATGCTGCAAACATGGTTTTACATTACTCTTATGTATCCTAACAACGTACCAAAAATCATAATTATTAATTACGCCATCTTTTGCAAACAAGGATGTCTTAGATGACTGGTCTATAGTAAGTTGTGAATAGGATATTTTACAGGAGTTAATCATACAGCAATATTTGTGTTCTTGGTTTTGTTGTTGTTTTATGGCCATTTCTTGTATTTTATAAAACTACTAGCTGACCCGGCGAACTTCGTATCGCCTAAGTTATAGGTTTCCCCTAAGACAGACCGATGGAAAGAAAGTACCGTTACGTTTAATTTTCAAGATGATCTCGTTCGCATCGCTCAATCACGTCCTGGTTGAAGTTCGTTCGCTACGCTCACTCACCTTTAGGTTGGAGCTCGTTCGCTGCGCTCACTTGCCTTAATGCTATTGAACATCATAGAACAGAACCAACTTGTTTAATTGAAACAGCTGTTAAGATTCATTAATTCCATTTCTCATAAGGTTAACATGGGAAACTCCAGAGCCACTGGGGCGGAGCCCTTTTTTAAGAATTTCGAAACGGGAAATAGTTTACGTCCGATTCGCATACCTACAGAATTTACACACCAAATTTCATAACGATCGGTGAAGTCGTTCCGGAGGAGTTTGCAGACAAACACTGTGACACGAGAATTTTATATATTAGATTTTTGAATGTACAAAATGAATAAAGAGATTAAGATGTGAAGTAGAATGTAAGCAAACATATTGGTCACATAGCTTACCATCACGGAAAATGAACTTAAAAATAAAGAATTATAGCATTAGTCACATTGTTTTCATTTTTCATATTTTATGGTTATTTAATAATTTGTTCTTGGAAGATAGGAGCAGGCGTTTTAACAATTTCTTCAGTAATCTGGAAGGTAGTGTATGTGTATTTCTCCCCAGATGCTGAATGTTTACAACTCGGCATGTGATGAGGCCACCCTGGCAATGGGCCGGTGTATCAGCCAGCTCAGCAGCCTCATGCGGACCCCTCCACAAGTGCTACGTCCGGAACCTGACATTAGAGTTCTATTCACCTTTGATTTTTATATCTTTGGAAATGAAGAACTCTTCTATTCCGGAAGCTACAAGAATTATTTTGGTAATCTTTGTTATTGTACGAGTAGGCTATGAATCTTCGATTCGACGAAAGGTCTTTGAAATTTTTTATGTTTAGTTATGTAAGTTTGTAAAATATATTGAAACATATTTTATACTGTAAACAACGCTAGTTCCGCAATACTATTGATGAGAAAAACTGTGACATACCCCTCCTGTTAGTGTTGAAGTGAAATGAGATTATATTTTGCCTCACATCTCGTACAATAAATAGATATCATGAGTTTTCTTCTCACTGAAACAATGTTATATTTTTGGTCGTGGTTGTTTGTGTACATCAAATAAATTACGACCAAATGAGTAAGAGAAAAGTATTTTAATAAAAGAGTTAAATTTTGTATACAATCCTTTAGAAAAACAAAAACCTGACTAACTATAATGCGTTGCTATGACAACGTAACAGAGAAAAGGAATCTATACATCATTCTGAAAAGTAACCCGTGGTCGGATTTGTCTTCCAGAACAAGTTTGAAAAGATGGTGGTAGTTTTGAGGTTTCCTCCGCTTGTCCAGTCGGCACCAAACGTTTTGTGGGCTTAGGAATAGGATTTTCATCTGCAACAATATAGGCTGGCTTCACCCTGTCCAAAGATACCTTAGTTTCTTGACCTCTTACAGTGATTGTAATTGTCTTTTCATCACGGCATATGACCTTGTAAGGACCAGAATATGGGGCCTGTAAAGATTTCCTTAAACAGTCTTGTCGGAGAAATACAAAGTCACAAGTGCAGAGGTTCTTGAACACAAACGATCCTGGTTTAACGTGGCATGATGCGGGTGTAGGTCTTAGTCGATTCATATGCTTACGCAGTCCGGATACCAATCCTTGCGGCTCATTGCCCTTGTGGGAAGATACTACGAAAAACTCTCCCGGAAGACGCAGTGGTTCTCCGTACACCAGTTCAGCCGATGAAGCAGAGATGTTTATTTGACATAGATATTTATTTGACGCTATTCATTGTATAAAAACTTGTACTGTGAATGAATAAAGAGAATTTGAATTGAATTGAATTGAATGTCCTCCTTGAAAGCAGATCTTATTCCGAGAAGGATAAAGGGCAGTACTTCGGTCCAGTCTGATTTGCTGTGAGCCATTATAGCAGCTTTCAACTGGCAGCGGAGTCTTTTAATCATACCGTTGGCTTGTGTATGCCAGCTGGTAGTGAACTGGAGCTTTATGCCCAACTGTCGCGCTAGGTCTTTAAACAAAGTCGATGTGAACTGGGATCCGCGGACACATGTCAACTTTTGTGGGCATCCAAATTGAGCTATCCAAGTAGAGACAAACGCTCGAGTAACAGATTCGACAGTTATTTTAATATTTGATCAATATAGGACAAATTTCAGGCCAACGAGTAAATCTATCTATGATAGTTGGACAGTACCTGGAAGCTTTTGATAAGGGAAGTGGGCCAATTAGGTCAATGTGGACATGAGAAAAACGTTCTGTAGGTGTATGAAAATCACCAAGAGGGGTAGAAACATGTCTAGTTATCTTAGATCTTTGGCATGAGAGGCAAGATTGAGTCCATTTGTGGCAATCCTTACGAATGGAAGGCCAGACAAAACGATCGCAGATAAGTTTTGTTGTGGCATGTATTCCAGGATGACTCAGCTTGTGGAACTGGTCGAAAACTCTACATCGCAGTTCTGTTGGGACAAAGGGTCTAGGAATTCCTGTTGAGGTGTCACAGATAAGGCTCAAATGGGTTCCAGGAATTGGAGCTTTCTCCATTCTAAGAGATGTAGTACTTTCTGAAATGAAATTTTGAAGTTCTTCGTCTGACTCTTGCGACTTGGCTAAGAGGTGATTCATGATTGGTTAAGGATTCATGATCTAAAACAGTTGATATGGTTTCAACATGTGACAAAGCATCAGCAACTATATTTTGTGAGCCACTGATGTGCTTTATGTCCGTCGAAAACTCAGAGATAAATGAAAGTTGGCATAACTGAGCTGGAGGCAACTTGTCATGGCGCTGTTGAAAGGCATAAATAAGTGGTTTATGATCTGTGAATATAGTGCAAGAAGTTGTTTTCAAAAGATGACGGAAATGCTGCACAGCTTCATAAATAGCGAGGAGTTCTCTGTAGTATGCAGGCCAGATGCACTGTTTGGGTGATAGTTTCTTGGAGAAAAACCCTAGAGGTTGCCAAGCGTCATCAACAAACTGTTGGAGGCAAGCACATACACTTACTCAAGAGGCGTCTGTAAAGAGACTGTTACGAATGGAACTGACAAAAAAACAATGAGTACTTAGTGAAAGTAGTGACAATAATTTATTTGAACCATTTTGACTAACACACCTTCCTTTAAAGCCAACATAAAACTCAACTCTATTTTGTTTACATTCTCTCCTTTAAATTAATAACATGTGGTTTAATTATTAGTAAGCATACAATATTAAGATTGACAACAGCTGGCAATTACCAGATAGTTAAACCATTGACTATAGGTTAAACCAACACAGCATATATAACATCCTCCCACCCAAGTTAATTAACTTATGGTTCATTAACTTGTACTTTGGATCGTGTACTTCTTCTTGTAACTAATTTTCTCTCTTCGTTAGAGTTTATTTCCAATGGGTATAAACGTTGTACTGGGCGAATCAATTCATTGGTTGGTGTCTTCAATCTTACTGTGCGTACAATTCCATCTCTTCCTTTCATTACTTCAATGATTCTGGCAATCACCCAGTTTATCCGCTTGTCAAAGCCATTACCTATGAGTACTATTTCTCCCACTTCAGGTTCTCGGTAACTTTTGACATTATTATGGTGTGATAATTGACCAAGATACTCGATTCTGAATCTTGACTTCAGTCCTTCTCTTATTTTCTTTCTGTATACAGCTTTCTTCGGTAAATTGATCTCCTCGATAGCGTCTAAGTCGGGTTGTCTCACATCGCTTATATCTTTCAAAAACATTGATGGAGTAATGGGACTCAACTCATTCAGATCATCTGACATGTAAGTAAGCGGTCGGGCATTGATAACACTTTCACATTCACATAATGTAGTTGACATTTCTTCATAGTTCAAACTAGTTTTCTTCAAAACTCTCTTCAATAGATCCTTTAGTGATCGTATAAGTCTTTCATAGAACCCACCCCACCATGGTGAATTTGGTGGAATGAATTTCCACTCAATTCTAGAAACTTCCTGTATGTTTTCCCAATCCAGCTTCTTAAACAGACTTTCAGTTCCAGTGAAATTCGTACCGTTGTCTGAAAATATTGTATGTGGTCTGCCCCTTCTGCTTATGAAACGTCTCAATGCCTGTAAGAATGCATCTGTAGACAGTGCCAGGGTAAGTTCAAAATGAACTGCTCTCACGATAGCACAAGTAACAATACAAATATATGCTTTGAGGTTTCCTTTAAGATAAACTGGACCTGTCATATCTATCCCGCAAACTTCAAAAGCTACAGGATCACGAAGTCGTTCGATTGGCAAAGTCGCAGCTGGAGCTTCAAATCTTTTTGATGAAAACCTTCGACAAATCACACAATGTTTTATAACAGTCCTCAACGTCCTCCTTCCTCCTAAAATCCAAAACCTTTCTCTTAAAATGCTCAGCAACCCTTGTACTCCAACATGACAAGACTTTATTCATGGACGTGGAGAATGAGACGCAAAACAACAGGATGTTTGGATGGTAGTAATATAGGTTGCCGAAAATCAACTGAATCTTCTCGTTGCATTACCTTTGTCTTCAATCGTATAAGTCCTTGTTCGTCATAAAAATATTCAAAGTTGCGCAAAACTTTCAAAGATTCACCAACGAAGCTATCTTGTTGAACTAGTTTTAACAAGTACATCTCAGCAGTGCAGAATTCACTAATAGTCAAAGGGCCACAAATATTTTGCTGTCTACAGTTATTAGTAAAGCGCAAAATCCAAGCTAAACACCTCACCAACATTTTGTACTTGGAAAACCGCCTGTAGTACCAATTACTTTCACTTTTACACTCAGTATTTGTCATTGAAGATGATACTACTTTACATTTTTCAGCATTTATCTCTTCTTCATTGCTGGATGTAACTTCGGTAGGCCATAGTTCTTCTGGTTGGTATAACCATTTGGGACCCTCCCACCAACGCACTGATAATAATTTTTTGGCGTTGCAACCTCTTGATGGTAAATCCGCTGGATTTAGCTGACCAGGAACGAATCTCCATTGGTTTCCATCGCATATACTTCTGATTTCATTGACTCGGTTTCGTACAAAAACAGTCCAATTCTCATTCCTTTTTATCCATGCCAAGCAAGTGGTAGAGTCACTCCAAAATGTGGTTTCAGCATTCTTGAACATATCCGTGCTCTTCACTATAGATGAATAAAGCCTAGCACTTATCGTAGCACCCAAAAGTTCCAGTCTAGGTATGGACATATTTTTTATCGGTGCGACTCTTGACTTCGCTTGAATCAACTGAACATTTACACAGAAAGATCCTTCCACTCTCAAAAAAGCTGCTGTGGCATATGCGTCCTGACTCGCATCACAAAACATATGAATAGTCAAGTTCGTGATCTGGCTGCTACCTAACAACCAACATGGAATTTTGATGTCCTTTAAAAAAGCTAATTCTTTTTGCCAATTGACAATATCTTTCCGAATATCTCCCCCAATTTCCTCGTCCCATTTGATTTTAGATTTCCACAGTTTTTGAAGACTAAGTTTGGGAGTAAGAGTAACAGGACTGAAAAAACCTATGGGATCAAACACTTTTTGAGCTAGAGATAGTATATTACGTTTTGTAACAGTTTGTAAAGGCTCACCAATATCTAAACTAACACCAAGAGTGTCATGTTCCTTATTCCATTCCAAACCTAAAACTTTGGTGACACAGGGTTGTAGATCTTGATTGTTTGACTCCCACCCTCTCAAACAAAATGAACCATCAGCCATAATTTCTGTTCCTTTCTCAATAAACCGACTTAATTCTTCTTCTGAATCTACACTTGTGACACAATTGT